ATGGACTAATACACATATCAAACAGCAAAAAAAAAAAAAAAAGTTTAAATTTAAAAATTGAAATGCTGCCACATATAACCCTTTCCCAGTTAAGAACAGTGGCTCACACCTGTAATCCCAGCACTTTGGGAGGCTGAGGTGGGAGGATTGCATGAGCCCAGGAGTTTCACCAGCCTGGGCAACATGGTGAAATCCACTCGCTACAACAATTTTAAAATTAGCCAGATGTAGTGGCAGGCACCTGTAGTCCCAGCTACTGGGGAAGCTAAGCGGGAGGAATGCTTGACTCCAGGAGGTCAAGGCTGCAGTGAGCTATTATGACTGAGCCTCTGCATTCCAGTTGGGGTAATAGAGTGAGACCCTGTTTTAAAACACTAAATAAATAAATAAAAAGTACATCTAAAAACATTCAACTCATTTGAAAACTTTTTTTTAAAGGGCTGAAGTTGGTTAGAAAGGGCTATGGGATTGGAAACTAAGGGGGCAGCTAATGGACACCACACACCTGGCTCAGGCTCGCATACTGCTGCTGGCTACCTGCTCAGCACCTATCTGCCTTCCTCCTTTCTGAAGGACTCCTGTTCAGTTCTGGTCAACTCACCCTCAGCTCCAGGTCTAAGGGTAGCCAGACTCCTTGCCACTCATTGGTTTAGGAATGAGAATGAGAAGGCTGGGCATGGTGGCTCACGCCTATAATCCCAGCACTTTGGAAGGCCGAGGCGGGTGGATCACGAGGTCAAGAGATGGAGACCATCCTGGTTAACAAGTTGAAACCCCATCTCTACTAAAAATACAAAAATTAGCTGGGCATGGTGGTGCGTGCCTGTAGTCCCAGCTACTCGGGAGGCTGAGGCAGGAGAATTGCTTGAACCCAGGAGGTGGAGGTTGCGGTGAGCCGAGATTGCACCATTGCACTCCAGCCTGGGTAACAACAGTGAAACTCCGTCTCAAAAAAAAAAAAAAGGAATGAGAATGAGATATAATTTATAACAAGGCAAAGGAAAAAAACAAAGTTTTGCTGGGCTTTCTCAGAACATTCTCATCAGTTCTTTTAGATGTAATCATCTCTCTTCCTCCCAGATGTCCAGCAGGCTGTGTCCCAGCCATTCAGCCCAGCGTCCCACAGGAACAGACTAGGAGAGGAGGACTGAGTTGCTCCCAAAGTCCTGCCACAGGACCTCCAATTCCATGTGCAAGGGCAGCTCAGCTTCTGGCACTTGCAGCCAAGACATCCTAACTAGTGTTGGCCCAATAGTGCCATCTCATCACTGCAGGCTTGACACACTTTTAAAGTTGTATTTCCTACAGTTCTGTTGGTTTTTCCAGGATTTGCTACATAATTTGCAGGGCCTTGTGCAAGTGAAAATGTAAGGTCCCTAGTTCAATAATTATAAAGAATTTCCTGATGGTGACAGCAGAGCGTAAAACCAAATGCAGAGCCCATCCAAGCCTAGGGCCCTGAGAGAGTGAATGCATCACACACACATGAAGCCAGCCCTGACTTTGATTCTTGTTTTGTTTTTTATTTTTGTTTTAACACAGGGTCTTGGCAGGGCTTGGTGGTTCATGCCTGTAATTCCAGCACTTTGGGCGGCAGAGGCGAGCAGATCACTAGATGTCAGGAGCTCTAGACCAGCCTGGACAACGCAGTGAAACCCCATCTCTATTAAAAATACAATAATTAGCCGGATGCAGTAGCATGTGCCTGTAATCCCAGCTACCTAGGAGGCTGAGGCAGGAGAATCACTGGAACCCAGGAGACAGAGGCTGCAGTGAGCTGAGATCGTGCTACTGCACTCCAACCTGGGCAACAAAGCGAGACTTCATCTCAAAAAAAAAAAAAAAAAAAAAAGACAGGTCTCACTCTGGTTGCCTAGGCCGGAGTGTAGTAGTGAAGCTCAGTGCAGCCTTGACCTCCCAGGCTCGGGTGATTTTCCCACCTTACCCTCATGAGTAGTTGGGATTACAGGCCTGTGTCACCACACTCAGCCAATTTATTTATTTATTTATTTTGGGACAGAGTCTCACTGTGTCACCAGTCTGGAGGACAGTGGCATGATCTCGGCTCACTGCAACCTCCGCCTCCCAGGTTCAAGTGATTCTCCTCCCTCAGCCTCCCAAGTAGCTGGGACTATAGGCATGTGCTACCATGCCCAGCTAATTTTTGTATTTTTATTAGAGACAGGGTTTCACCATGTTGGCCAGGATAGTCTTGATCTCCTGACCTCATGATCTGCCCACCTTGGCCTTCCAAAGTGCTGGAATTACAGTTGTAAGCCACCGCTTCTGGCCTTTTAATTTTTATTTATTTATTTTTTTGAGAAAGAGTCTCACTCTATCACAGTGCAGTGGCACAATCTCGAGTCATTGCAACCTCCACCTCCTGGGTTCAAGTAATTCTCTTGCCTCAGCCTCCCGAGTAGCTAGGATTACAGGCACATACCGCCATGCCTGGCTAACTTTTTTTGTATTTGTATTTTTTTATTTTTTACTTTTTTAGAGACAGGGTTTCACCATCTTGGCCAGGCTGGTCTTGAACTCCTGACCTCATGATCCACCCACCTCAGCCTCCCAAAGTGCTGGGATCACAGGCGTGAGCCACCACACCTGGCCTGTATTTTTATTAGAGAAGGGGTTTCACTATGTTGGCCAGGCTGGTCTCAAACTCTTCACCTCAAATGATCCACCCGCCTCAGCCTCCCAAAGTGCTGGAATTACAAGCGTGAGCCACCATGCCCAGCCATTTTTTGTATTTTTAGTAGAGATGGGGTTTCACTGTGTTGCCCAGGCTGGTCTCGAACTCCTGGACTCAAGCAGTCCACCTGCCTCAGCCTCCCAGAGGGCTGGGATTATAGGTGTGAGCCACTGTGTCTGGCCTGTCCTTGATTCTTATCAAGAAAAAGCTCTCCCTGGCCTTATGACTTCAGTTACCTTGGATCTATAGTTGACATTTCATGCTTAAGGTCCAAACTTGTTTTCCAAGCCTTCTGTTTTATAAAATCTTATCAGTTGACACCTTTGAATATGTAGGCTCAAACCTTTACTCCTTAATCTCTCCTACCCTCCGCTCTGCTTCAAAACTTCTGATTCCCTATCCTAGACAATGACACCCCTATCCACCAAGTGACCCATTTTGTGCATCTCCTTGTTTCACTTTCACCACATCCCCTCTCCAAGTCCTGTCAATTTCACTTCTGCAATATGGTCCAGGCACTGCTTTGGCCTAGTATCCATTCCATGGTCATTAATTTGGACAAAGCCTCTGCTAAACCTTCACAACGGCCTCTAGTTTTCCTCTGCCCCACTTCAGGCCACACTGCAGCCAGAAGGATCTTTTTATAATACAGATCTCAGCATGCCACTCGCTGGCTGCAAAGTCCTAGGATGACAGATGACCCCTTTCAGACAATAACTCATCAAAATTATCACTCTTTTGGACAGCTATTTAATTTTTTTAAAATGAGTCATACTCCCAGAGATCCTGTAATTCCACCTCTGGCAATCAAACCCAGTAACATGAATTAATAAAAAGGCTCATTGAACAATGATGGTTGATCTGGTTTGGGTATTTATCCCCTCCAAATCTCATGCTGAAATGTGATCCCCAATGTTAGAGATGGGGCCTGGTGGGAAGTGTCTGGGTTATGGAGGTGGATTCCTCATGAATGGTTTGGTGACCTCCCCACAATAATGAGTTCTCACTCTATTAGTTCATGAGAGATCTGGGTGTTTAAAAGAACCTGGCATCTCTCTTGTTCCCTCTCTTACCAGGTGACGTGCCTGCTTCCCCTTTGCTTTCTTGCCACGATTGTAAGCTTCCTGAGGCCTCACCAGAAGCAGATGCTGGCACCATGCTTCTTGTGCAGCCTGCAGAACTGCGAGCCAAATAAACCTCTTTTCTTTATTAATTATCCAGTCTCAGATATTCCTTTATAGCAACACAAAACAGACTAATACAAAGTTCATAACAGCAAATACTTGGTGAAGAATTTTGAACAACAGCAGCTAACTCATATTGAGTGCTTGGTATACAGCAACCATGTGCTAAACACATTTCATAGCATTTAATTCTCAAAACAACTCTATAAATATGTAGGACTGGGAGGCTAGGAATGATTAAGTGCCTTGCTGAAGGTCCACTGTAAGTGACCTCACATTCTCTAAGCCAGGTCTGTCTGACACCCAAGTCTATACTTTTACCTACTACAGGTAATGACTAAACAAGTTACTAGTCATGTACTCGTAGAAGGTTAATGTTAAAAATTAGTTATAGGACTGGGCATGGGTGTCTCATGTTGTAATCTCAACATTTAGGAGGCAGAGGAAGGAGGATCGTTTAAGCCTAGGAGTTTGAGACCAGCCTGGGCAATAAAGTGAGACACTGTCTCCTCAAAAAATAAAAAATTGGCTGGGCACGGTGGCATGTAGTCCCAGCCACCCGGGAAGCCGAGGAGGGGGGATTACTTGAACCCAGAAGGTTGAGGTTGCAGTGAGCCATGACTGTGCCACTGTACTCCAGCCTGGGCGACAGAGCAAGACCGTCTCAAAAAAAAAAAAACAGTTATAAATACAATTTCACAACATGCTTATGTTTAATATTATGTGAAAAAGTGGAATACAAAATGCAGTATAATTGTTTTAAATATAGGGAAAAAACTGGAAGTAGATACAGTAAAATGTTGACAAACAGTAAAGACACAGAATTAGAAATACTTTTTTCTACTGTTGTGCGTTTTCCAAATTTTAGTTAATGCATTAAACCCCCATGAACTCCCTCTTACCTGAAGGATAAAAACCAGTTACTTCAGCACTGCCCCTAAGGACCACCCGAGTCTGCACCATGCTCCCTTCAGCTTCCCCGCTACCCGTCTGTCCTCCAAGCCTCGCGATCTCCCCGTTGCCAGGAAAGCCTTTTTCCCTCTTCCCCACCTGCCGAGCTCCTACTCATCCCTTAGGACCCAGCTCCATCCTAGACACCCCTGTCAGGCCCTTCTGGATACCCTACAGGAACACGTCCGTCTTACTCCGGGGACCCAGCAGCCCGCTGTCCGGGAGGATGCAGGTGGACACACGGCGCCCCGCCCGCGTGACGCAGCCCACGTGTTCACGGCCCGGCCCCGCCCCGCGCTCGCGCAGTCCCCTTCTCAAGCTGCGTCCCCTTTTCAGGCTGTGCGGGTGGCGGGTCTGCCTCCCTCCTATGCAGGTGTATCTGCGCCGCGCGGCGCCTCAGTCACCTTTCACTTCGGGGCAGCAGCGCCCCGCCCACACCTCGACGCTTCGGACACCCAAAGGGTCGGAGGGTGGGAAAGTGCGTACCTTCTGGATCCGCTTTAGCGCCATCCTGCCCCGCTGCCCGGAACCCGGGCGGCCCGGCCGGGGCTGCCTGAGGCGGCCCGCTGCCGGGTCAGCAGCCAGCGAGCTGCAGGCTGGGAGCCGCCGCCTGCGCTTGCGCGCGCGGGGCACTGTGGGGCCGTCGTCGCCGCGTGCCGAGCGTCCTGGCGCGGCCGAGGGGAAGCCGCGGGGCTGCCCGGTTACGCTGGCCACTCTCACCTGGTCATGTGGCTTCCACCATTAGACAGCAAGGGCCTGGAGAGGCCAGCGAAGAGGAGGGGCTCGTTGGCTTTGTGGAGACGCGCCGAGCACCCTCAAGGTGCCACACGCTCGCTTGCTCCCTGTCCCTACCTCCTGGGCGTCTTCCCAGGTTGTCATGTAACCCCTGACATAGGGGTTCTTAACTCTGTAAGTATATATACCCTCGTACGCCCTATGGCTGTACAGCCATTTCCATGTGGATGTCTGTGCATACATGCACACGCACAACTCCGCAGTTTTGGAGATCTCTGTGTTCAGTCATACCTCACGTGATCTTGCACTCCCAACGTTGAGAACCAAGGCCTTAGACTATGCATGTCCCAAACTTAAATTATCTATCTCCTTCCTATTTTCCCAAGACTTGGCAGGCTTCTAGGTCAGAGTTGTTCAAACTGAGGGTTATGAACTAGTGTGTCACGAAATCAATTTAATAGGTTGCAACCAACATTAAAAAAAAAAAAAATGCCAGACGAAGTGGCTCAGGCCTATAATCCCAGCACTTTGGGAGTCCGAGGCAGGCGGATCACTTGAGGTTAGGAATTCGAAACCAGCCTGGCCAAGATGGTGAAACCCTGTTTCTGCTGAAAATACAGAAATTAGCCGGGCATGGTGACATATGCATATGCCTGTAATCCCAGCTACGTGGGAGACTGAGGCATGAGAATCATTTGATTCCAGGAGGCAGAGGCTGCAGTGAGCTGAGATACGCTTTCACATTCTAGCCTGGGCAACAGAGTCTCAAAAAATAATAAAAATTTAAAGTAAAATAAAATATCAATGCCTTTCTTTCTTTTTTTCTTTTTTTGAGACAAGTCACCTAGGCTGGAGTGCAGTGCCGAGATCTTGGCTCACTGCAACTCCACCTCCATGGTTCAAGTGATTCTTTGCTTCCTGAGTAGCTGGGATTACAGGCGCCCGCCACCACGCCCAGCTAATTTTTTGTATTTGTACTAGAAACGGGGTTTCACCATCTGGGCCAGGCTGGTCTTGAACTCCTGATCTCGTGATCCACCTGCCTTGGCCTACCAAAGGGCTGGGATTACAGGCATGAGCCACCTCGCCTGCCCAATATCTGAGCATTTCACATAGTAAAGGTAAGAATTGTGAAAGTTTTGTTGGTGTGTATATGTAGATGATATTTAATCTTCAGACTGAGACATGTTTGAACATGAAAGTGGGTGCTAATATAATTACTCTGGGACCAAAGCTGTAATCTGAGATTGTCTCCAGCCAGACAGGACACATGGTCACCACTATGTTTGTACTTAGGACATAAAATGTATTATATTGGCCGAGCGTGGTGGCTCAAGCCTGTAATCCCAGCACTTTGGGAAGCCGAGGCGGGTGGATCATGAGGTCAAGAGATTGAGACCATCCTCGTCAACATGGTGAAACCCCATCTCTGCTAAAAATACAAAAAATTAGCTGGGCATGGTGGTGTGTGCCTGTAATCCCAGCTACTCAGGAGTCTGAGGCAGGAGAATTGCCTGAACCCAGGAGGCAGAGGTTGTGGTGAGCCGAGATCACGCCATTGCACTCCAGCCTGGGTAACAAGAGCGAAACTTTGTCTCAAAAAAAAAAAAAAATGTATTATAGTCATTTCAGAGGTTGCCCAGCTTTGTCCCTAGCTTTCATGTTCCCATTTCCCCAATCTGTCCTCCACCCAACTTCATCAACTGTCTGAAATATAACTCTTACTACACTGCATTCTTACCCAGAACTCTTCATGGAATCCCTGTGACTGATGGCATCACATTCACTGTCATCCAGGGGCCTTCAAAATCCAGGAGCCTCCACCAGGCACAGTGACTTATGCCTGTAATCTCAGCACTTTGGGAGGTTAAGGTGGGTGGATCTCTAATTCGAGGAGTTCTATACCATCCTGGGCAACATGGTGAAACCCTGTTTCTACAAAAAATACAAAACTTAACTGGGCATGGTGGTGTGAGCCTGTAGTCCCAGCTACTCGGGAAGCTGAGATGGGAGGATTGCTTGAGCCCAGGAGATCAAGGCTGCAGTGAGTTGTGATGGCACCACTGCACTCCAGCCTGGGAGACAGAGCAAGATCCTGTCTCAAAAAAACAAAAACTCAAAACAAAATCAAGTATCCTCCAGCTTTACTTTCTCCTTCCTAACCTCCAGCCCCCCTGACTATCAAGTTTTTCCATCACTGCACCATCTACGTTCCTTGACTATAGCACTCACCTTCCAAAGCCAGCTCAAGCATCACCCGTCAAATGCTCCAGGTCAAGCACTTTCCCTTGGTGTCAAAGATTTACAACAGAAATTTGTGTTAGTCCGTGGGCCATCCATCCTCCTACATTATTGACATGGCCTTCCCTCCCATAAAACAAGTGATTCTAGATTGTGTGAATGTTTGTATATTTGTGTAAGAATATATATAATGGTTTTGAAGTATCAAATCTCAAAAAGAATATTATTTTTGGAGGGTAGGTTTACTAATGTTTTAATTTCTAAAATGTCTACAGAGAATTTGCATCATTTATATAATTCAGGAAAAAAACAATTGTATAGGATAGAAAATAAAAAATTCTATTTCTATTCTGTTTGTAGTTTAGTGCATAGTTTCCTAAACATTTTAGTATGCTTATATGTAATGTTTAATTTTTAACACTGGAGTAATTTTATTTATTTATTTATTTATTTTGGAGACAGAGTTTCTCTCTTGTTACCTAGGCCAGAGTGCAATGGTGCAATCTCGGCTCACTGCAACCTCTGCCTCCTGGGATCATGCAATTCTCCTGCCTCAGCCTCCTGATTAGCTGGGATTACAGGCACGCGCCACCATGCCCAGCTAATTTTTGTATTTTTAGTAGAGACGGGGTTTCACCATGTTGACCAGGATGGTCTTGATCTCTTGACCTCGTGATCCATCCCCCTTGGCCTCCCAAAGTGCTGGGATTACAGGCGTGAGTCACTGCGCCCAGCCAATAATTTTAAATGTACAGAAATGTTGGAAGAATAATACACAATTGGCTGGGTACAGTGGTTTATACTTGTAATCCCAGCACTTTGGAAGGTCGATGTGGATGGATCATTTGAGGCCAGGAGTTCGAAGTCAGCCTGGCCAACATGGCAAAACCCTATCACTACAGAAAATACAAAAATTAGCCAGGTGTGGTGGCGTGCATCAGTAGTCCCAGCTGAAGCCCAAGAATCATTTGAACCCAGGAGGTGGAGATTACAGTGAGCTGAGATTATGCCACTGCACTCCAACCTGGGCAACAGTGAGACTGTCTTAAAAAAAAAAAAAAACAGAATAATACAGAAAAGATTTTTAAATGGATGAATTTGACTACATGAAAATTGAACACTTTTGTGCTTCAAGCAACACCAACTAGAAAACAAAAAGACAGCACCCAGAATGGGAGAAAATGTTTGAAATAATATCCCACAACAGTCTAGGATCCAGAATATATTAAGAACATTTAGAATTAAATAAAAAAGACAAATAACCCAGTTAAAAACTGGGCAAAAGATTTGAATAGAAATTTCTTCAAAGAAGATACTCAACTGGGCAATAAGCACATTTTTAAAAAAGCAGGCTGGGCATGGTGGCTCAGGGCTGTGTAACACCAGCACTTTGGAAAGCTGAGGTTGGAGGACTGCTTAAGGCCAGGACTTTGAGACCAGACTAGGCAACATAGCTAACCCATCTCTACAAAAAACAATTTTTAATTAGCTGGATGTAGCGGTGTGCATGTGAGGGCCCAGCTCCTTGAGAGGTTGAGGTGTGAGGATTGCTTGATTCCAGGAATTTGAGGCTGCAGGGAGCTATGATTGAGCCACTGTACTCCAGGACAGGAGACAGAGCAAGACCCTGTTTCTTTAAAAAAAAAAAAAAAAAAAAAAAAGGCTGGGCGTGGTGGCTCATGCCTGTAATCCCAACAGGAAGGCCAAGGCAGGTGGATCATGAGGTCAGGAGTTCGAGACCAGCCTGGCCAATACGGTGAAACCCCATCTCTACTAAAAATACAATAATTAGATGGGCGTGGTGGTGTGCGCCTGTTGTCCCAGCTACTGTGGAGGCTGAGGCAGGAGAATCACTTGAGCCTGGGAGGCGGAGGTTGCAGTGAGCTGAGATGGTGTCACTGCACTCCAGCCTGGGCAACAGAGTGAGACTCCTTCACAAAAAACAAACATAAAAAGTGGCTTGGTGTGGTAGCTTACATCTATAATCCCAGCACTTTGGGTGACTGTCTGTGGTGGGAGGATCACCTAACCCAGGAGTTCAGGACCAGCTTGGGCAACATGACAGACAACACCCCATCTCTACAAGAAAAAAAAGTTTTTTTTTTCTTCACCGAAAGCAGACACTTGAGGCTGGGCACAGTGGCTCACGCTTGTAATCCCAGCACTTTGGGAGGCTGAGACAAGTGGATCACCTGAGGTTAGGAGTTCAAGACCACCTTGGCCAACATGGAGAAACCCTGTCTTTACTTAGTCGGGTGTGATGGCACATGCCTGTAATCCTAGCTATCCCAGCTACTTGGGAGGATGAAGCAGGAAATTCGCTTAAACCT